CTATTTGTGTTCCAGTTTAAATCTCTTTTTAAACAATATGGTTTCAAAATAATTCTAATTTTTAAACTATGTGACAACCATGTTAAATACCGAAATTGATTTATTCCTAAGATATTCTAATTATTCTTTTCTGTCATGTAGTTGTATTTGAAACAAATCAAATCTGTCTCACTTCTATAAAACCCTAAGATTAAACTATTTTGGATAATCAATAATCTGTTTTTTGAACTAATACACCAAAGGGTCATACATAAAATCTATGTCTAAATACATATTTGAATACTTATTTGTGTAACATCTTTGATCTTTTTTTAACAATATGGGTTCAAACTTAATCTGGTTTTCAAACCATGCTGTCATACCTATTTTAAAACACAATATACTCAAATTAATATATCCCAAGTTATTCTAATTATCTTTAATATTTCATGTAGTCCTGATTTGAAACAAATCAAAGCTGTCATACCTATTTTAAACACTATCATTAAACTATTTTTTGATAAATCTCTAGTCTATTGTTACAAATGATATACCTATGTGTCATTCATATATTTAAACGTCTATATACCTATTTGAATACCTATTCAGTAACAGTTTGGATCATTTTTAATCAATATTGATAAAAACTATATCTGACTTTTAAAGTTGCTTTGTTTTATAACTAAAATGTGTTCTTTCTTTCAATACTCATTTAATATTTTATTAATAGTGATTTCAAATCACATTTATTTTTAAAACAAAACTGCCATACTTATTCTTCTATGAAAAATCCTATATTTTGATAGATTCGACACTTAATATTTTAATTTTTTTTTCATAAAGCAGATATACATGTATGTATGTATATGAAAACTTTATGTTTTCTGAAGTAATGTTTGAAGCCATACCTAAATGGATGTTAACTATTGTCTATCTGGGTCAATTGGTAGGTGATGTGGCATTGACCATAGGGTTACCCGATACTCTGCCAGCCACATCAGTGGCCTTCGGAACTGTGTGGTCGGGTAGCCCGCTAAGCAGCCATCTTCAATTCTACCTTACACCACCTTGATATGATAATAGGAGTTCACAAATGTTTTTCCCAAAAGTTTTTGGTATTATGAACATAATTCATTCATGGTTTTGTAAACCATGAGAAATCTGAAGTTTGCAGTAATACCTTGATTAAAAACCTCCCCTGCCAGCCTCTTACGGTTGATTATTGTTGATTTAGTAAGCCTCCTCATTTTTTAATGCATTTGCTATAAGTACCCTGTATATCATTCATATCAGGTTATATCTCTGAGCTGTCATATGCATTTTGATTTGGCCAAACGCATCCAAAAATGTGTATTCCATAGGTATATATATGTCATACATATAAGTTCATCCTAATCATATTTTTAAGTTACTGTGTTTTGCACTTCATTAAAATGTATTTTTTCAAAGATAGCATGAAAGAAATGAAAGCAGAGGGTAATGTTGTAGCAAAAATATGCATTCTTAGTGCATTTAAACGAAGCTTTCATAGCATTTCATTACATTCAATGTTCTGATACATTTCAGGTAGCATAAAGCCACACTTTTTGAGAAAAGCATAAACTATTTTAACTAAATCCTTTTTAACCAACCCATCTGCATACCCACAACTGTGTATTCATTGAAGAACTTTCTGTTAAGATAAATAACCCGTTCAGATCTCCTAGGTAACACTGGACATGCATCTAGCAATTCTTCTTCACATTGTTTGCATATAAAGTCCACAGTACCCCTGTCCTTGTTAAGTGGCTTCATGCAGTAGTAGTGGCTAAAGTTTGATTTACACTGAGAACAATCTTCCAGCACAAACCCCCCACTATGTTCACCACAACCATGACATTTGAGACTAAATGTTGCAGTATTCATCCTTTTTATTTCTGATAGGTCAATCTGTATATGAAATATATATCATTTTTACTAAAATCTGTACTCAAAACTGCATTCATACTCTATGTTTTACAGCATGCATTTTATTTCTGATAGGTCAATCTGTATATGAAATATATATCATTTTTACTAAAATCTGTACTCAAAACTGCATTCATACTCTATGTTTTACAGCATGCATTTTTTTTATAGATTCAATGTTTAGTATGAATATCTACTGCATAAAATTTGACATAGCAAAATAATATAAAACTGACCTTTTATTGCTCTTTAATGGAAAACTCTTGCACTCTTAGACTACATTCAACGTGAGAGTTCCATTGTCCTCTGATTGCTCATCAAACCTGTACAAAAGTATTTCTTTTAGGTACTTTGAATGTTTCCAATATCTTAAGGTACTTTATTGAAACTCACAGATTTTTGAATTCTTGAAACTCATTCCTGTCTTCGTTGATGATAAGCTTTGTCACATCAAACGATGAAGAAACCGAAACATTTCCTGCGAAAACCATATATGGTTAGATAATTTAGTCCACCAATTAGAAAAAGCATTTCAAAACGTTAATAGAGTACCCTTGTAGTGCTTTGGCCTACTGATTTGAACAATCATGAAGATGGCCTCATTTTGAGCTTGGTTCACATAGTCATTAAAGTCAGTAATGTAGTTGTTCCACAATGTACAACCGATTTTGTTCCTGCTGCAATATTAAGAGAAATTAAGACTGATTTATTTACGTTTTGAAATAACATGGAATTTATATAATCAATCTGTACTCAAAATCTTCTAGGGTGAGTTCCATCAGCCTCTCAGTGCGGTTGTTGATGACATGGGTCTGTGGTGCACAGTGCCCCACAACCTTTCCAATGACATCTGATTTAAAAAACAGTTAGTATGCAACAAATACATTTGTATGAACTAATCATTAGAGTTAGGATAGTTATTTACCTATTAGCAGCCTATCGTTAAGCACCCTTTGAGCTTGCAGCATCTCAAATGGCTGGAGGTCATACATGAAGTTAGGAAACTCCTTATCCGAGTGAACCGTCTTTGTCCTGCTCACAAACTCCAAGATGTAAGGGTGAGAGGTGGTTTTGTACAGATGGTAGTTGTCGAGTACCATGAAATTCTTCATTGCATAGACATTGTCTTCCATTACTTGAGGTCTGAACAGAGCAACTTGTGGTCGTTTAACCACAGCATGAATCCGGGTGCCCTACAAAAATGGCATATATAAGTTTGGAAAATAACTGAAAAAATGTATGAATATGGAAACTACAGTTCAATTAAGATATACCTCTTCATCATGGAGCACCATTTCTAGAGTGTTACCTCCCCTAGCATGGGCTGCTACTTCAAATACCCTAACAACTCTTACTCTAAAAGCCCAAGAGGTTTTGCTGTGGTGAATCTCATTTATGAGAGACCACATTCCTGAACTCTTAGTGGCAGCCATAGGTTTAGTTGGAGTTGGGAGTACTGGAGAGTTGGGAAGTATAGAGTGCTGAGAGTTTGTTGTGTGAGAATGGCTGTGGGAAGTGTCCTATTTATAGCAGAACTTTGTGGCCCAATAGTATTTCACAACTAAACTTAAGTGCTCGGCCCAATAGGTTTAAAAATTTTGAATTGGAATATAATAAAGAACTACACCATCTGCGAATACTTTTTGCTCTACATTAATTGTATATCTTCATTGGTGTCTAACCCCTCAACTACATCAAAAGTGGTTTCTACTTCAAACGCAAATGGGATGTGTTGTCAAAATCAAAACTTTGTTTCTCGTGTAAGCATTCTGAAGATCAATTGCATTTAATGCTTATCTTGGATTCTTTAGCATTCTGTAGATATCTCATTAATTGAACATCTATTTTTGGAACAACTTCCAACTACCCAATTGTACTATTCTGGATTGTGAACTATAATGGTAATGTAAGTCAACCAAAATGAATGAATGCATTTAATGTGATCTCCAATTTTTGGCAAAAATTTTAAGAAGGCATCGGCCTTCAAAGATATTTAACCTTATTAATGAAATATGACTGCTGCCACACTCAATCTACACGATGGACCCAGTGCACCCGACCCAATCACTAAACCCGACCCGAATACAAAACCCACCCAGACCTGTAAACAAAAATTTGGGCGGGAAAACAGCCTGCCTTTCCACCTCTTTTTATATAGAGGTAGATATTCACTGTTTATCCAGATTTTTTATGTTTATTTAGATTTCTTTCGATTTTCTACATCTTAAAATAGAAACATCTATAACGATTAACATTCAAACACCTAAAATGTTAATTTTCGATTAATGAATATGAACAAAAACTAAAAACACTGAAAAACAAATACTACGAATTTCATTAGTATCGACACAAAAAACACAAACAAACCATAAGCAACAAAAAACTAACAATAACATGATAAAGTTACAATTAAAAATTTAATCACTTCAAGAAGCGCTACATTACAAAACTCGCATTTTTAATTTTTTTCATGTCTTAATTTATTTTCAAGTTCATTATTTTAATTTTTCATATTTTTATTCTATGAGTTTATTTTAATTTTACACTCTTCTAAGTTACATTAATTTTATAGTTTCATGTAAAATATGTTATTATTATCTTATTATTATATTAAATCTAATTAATTTTTTTCCACATGTTTAATATTTTAGTTCTTCACATTTTTCTATTTTCCAGTTTTCAATATTTTACACACTTAATAATTTACATTAAATTGCAGATTTATGTGCTAAATTTATACTTTATAATTTATTCTAGATTTTTTTAATATCTTAAAATAATCTCTATATGTATCTTAATTTTATATTTTTTTACTTTCTATATATTTCTATTTTAAAATATAAATGTCATTCCTAAACAAAAATTTAATTACTCTTCTTACTTTTTAATAGTTTCATTTTTAACTAATTTTTAATTTTGTGTTTAAAATTTTTGATTATTTTCAACTTTTATATCTATATTATCGATTTTTATATATTTAATACTAATGGGAAGCTGATATACGAATATACTTATCGTGTTTCAATACTTATCATGTTTCAATACTTATGGGAAGCTGAAATACGAATATACAGAGTGTCAGTGGCAAAAAAAGATATCATCCGGCGGAGGGGGAATAAACAAGGGATGGGCAAGCAATGATGGAAGAAGAGCCAGTTGGAGGAAAAAACGGGGTTGGGACAGGCTCTGGGTGACGCGTCTGCCGGGTATTTCGAAGACTATTCAACCATCGTTGCATTTTTTATTTAATTTAATTTATTTTTCAAACTGTCAGACTTTACTATTGTTGATTGTAGGTTTTTTCACTAGGGGTATATTTTGAGGTGTATAATATTTTGGTTATTTGTAGGAGGTATGAGTTTAATAGGTTAAATGATATGAACATCGATTTGGTCACTATAGATTGAAACTGAAGTTGTCCATTTTGAACTTAGTGAGTCATTGCACTTGTTTGAAGACGATTAGCTCTCTCTCTCTCTCTCTCTATATATATATATATATATATATATATATATATATATATATATATATATATATATATATATATATATATATATATATCAAATCTTATGACTTGTGACTTGCTTGATTGTGTATGTTATGTGTGTGTGAAAAATTATTTCAAAAGAATGTTTAATTAGTTCACCAAAATAATACCACTCTCATCTTATTTTATGTGCTTTGTTTTAGTTGGACACAATTATTGATAAAGTAATTCAAAAAGTAACAGTTGCAAATGAGATTTGAATATAACAAAGTGAAATCGTGTGAATCGCATTTTTCTTTCTAAAAAGAAAACATAACACTTGTTTTTGGAAAATCAAAAAATTAGAAAGTAAGACAAGTAAAATGATGAGATTGATTGAGTATTTTTTTTTTACTCCAGGGGACGTCTGGGAGAGGGGGCTGGAGGAGTCTGGAGTAATCTAGGCTGAAACTCACCCCATTGAGTTTCGAACCCGAGACCTCTCGTAAGGGAGAGTGAGTCGACAACCAGCTAGGCTGGACCGCTTTCTCAAGATTGATTGTGTATTTGATATGCTCCTAATCGTTGAATGTAATTGAAATTGCGTATATGTGGGTAAATTACATGGTACAGCCGACTGTACCATTCTCATGGTACAACCGTTTGTTTTTTGAAATTAACCGCAACTTTGAGCCTTCTTGTTTAATCTGATCTTCGTCCTTGTTTGTTTGTCCTCTTCGTTCGCGCTGGTTCGTCCTCTTCGTCCTTGCTGGTTCATCCTCTTCGTCGGCGCTGGTCCGTCCTCTTCTCCTAGGTTTTTTCTGTTCGTCTCTTTCTTCTCTACCGCATTCAATCTTTCTAGCTGAAGATTCCGTTTGGTCATCGATGCAGAGTAATATTTCTTCTCTACCGCATTCAATCTTTATTTTGCTTCAGATTTTCTCCACTTTTGAAAACTACAATATCTTATTGTCTTAATCAATTTTTCTTCTTTGTTGTTTCCATCTTCGATCTTAGTTTCTGTACTTACTTCCTCATCTTTATTATTTATTTTCGTTTGTTCTTGCGCAGGTTTAGGTTTTTTGCATTTGTTTTGGTCCACTGAAGGTGTAAGTAAGTAATTGTTCTTAGGTTATTTTCTTCTGTCATTGGAACAAAAACTTTGTTTTCATTCAGTTCAAATGTTTTATGTTGCAACATTTTTTTTATCCAAGAATCGATGCTATGTTTAGTTGTGGAAGTAATTTTTCAAATAACACGTTCATTATTTTTGATGAGTATTATTTTACTTAGTTTTGAATTGTTATCCCCTGTCAGATGATATGTCTTGCAGTGGCAAATTAATAGAGGATATTGAGGCCAGAGGCAAACTTTTTGAAGTTGATTGCAGTAATATTTTCTCTCCTTACAAGTCACATATTGTTGTTGTTTTCTGTGTGTTATTTACTTTGAGCTATTTGATATTTACTTCTGTATTTTTTATTGATTCAGATTACTTGGAGTCTCGTGATACCTTAAGTGAATTTTTTTTGTCTAGAACTGAATCTGTTCCTGTGCTACCAAGTATTGTGCTTTCTTACATTTTATTACTTTGTTATTTTTTTAAAAAATTTTAATTTTTTTGTTGGCAGTTCAAAATTCTTCTACTTTTGTTCATGTAGACCAATCTGATGAGCCTTTGTGTGTTGAAACAATATCAGGTCTTCGTTATTCTACTTTAAGAATGAGAGGTGGTGGTTTTGGCTTGAGAGGAAGGGAATTTTGTTGCACGAAACAAGGTCTAAAAAGAAATAAAGGTGTTGTAGGTAAACAATATACAAAAGTTGATAGGCGAACTGGTTGCAAGGCAAAAATATATTTCGAGATAAAGCCTACTAGTGAGTTTGTTGTTTTTAGGCATGATATGGTTCATAATCACAATTTTTTCCCGAGTTCTTTAGTTCATCATGTTAGGTCTCATCGTGTTGTTTCGTCAAGTGAATTAGAGTATTTGCAACATTTGAAAAATAAAGGAGTTAAAGTAGCAGATGGTTTTCGTTGCTAGCAAGCAGAAGCTGGTGGATCTTTTGTTGTTGGTTTTCTTTTGCGTGATGCTTGTAGTGAGTTGACAAAAAAGATTAAAAAATCATTTGATGGTTGTGATGCAAACACATTGATTAATACTTTTAAGAATAGACAGGTAAATGAAGACGGTTTTTTCTCTTCTTTTGAGGTTGATATGGATGGTAGTTTGGTTAGTTTTTTTTTTGAGAGACAAGAAAATGAAGGAAGATTATCTTGCATTTGGTGAATTTCTTATCCATGATACGACTTACCGCACCAACAAGTATGATATGATTTGTGGACCATTTGTTGGTGTTAACTCTCACACTCATAATTGCATGTTTGGTTGTGGCTTTTTGTTAAATGAGAGGATTGAGTCGTTTGAATGGCTTTTCAATACTTTTTGCAATCTATGGGTTCTGTCCACCCAAGAACTGTTATGACAGATCAATCTGCTACCATGGCTGCTGCCATTTCTACAGTTTTTCCTCTCTCCAAACATCGTCTTTGTATTTGGCATATCATTGAAAACTCTAAGAAACATTACGCGATTTAAGGAATCAAGAGGGATTCTTAGATTTGTTTGATCATGTTTTGAAACTTTGTCACGCCGTTGCTGAATTTGATTATTACTGGAATAGGTATGTTTCATTGACATTATATATTTTTTCGTTTTTCCTTATTTACATTAATATTGTGTTCATGAGTATTGTTTAGAACATTAATGAGTAAGGAGTTGTGTGAAATGATTATCTGTTGTGCTTTGCAGAATGATATCTGAATATAATTGCTCTGATAATCCTTGGTTAAACAAACTATATGAGATGAGAGACAAATGGTGTCCAGCTTTTTCAAAAGAATTCTTTTCTGCTGGCATTTTATCTTCATAACGAAGCGAGACCACAAATGAGTCTTTGTCTACAAAATTGAATGCTACCTCTTCTCTATGTGACTTCCATCATTTTTTAGTGAACCTGCCAGTCATTGGAGAAGTAATGAGGACAAAGATCATCAGCGTTGTTTGGATGGTTTTCCTGAAATTGCCATTCCTCATATCAGTTTGTTACATAAAGCTTCCAGGCTTTATACTATTGATGCTTATAAACTTTTTGAGAATGAATTTATGCGAGGTATGTCTCTGAAATTTGAACTTAGATACCATCAAGGTTCTTTAATGGGATATATAGTATGGATGCCTCAAACGGTTCGGTTTTCACATTGGGTTTCATTTGATGTAACAACACATTTCGTTAGTTGTTCTTGTCAGAAATTCCCAGAGGCAGGTATTTTGTGTTGTCATATTCTTCGTATATATCATATTCAGTGTGTAGAAGTTATTCTGGATTATTATATTTTCAAACGGTGGACTCGTACGGCAAAGACTCTTCCAAGTGAACAACCTTTTGTTTTAGACGCTTCTTCTAATGTGTTACCTTCAGTTTGGAGAATGCAAATGCAGAAGAAATTTCACAAGCTTTTGTGCTCCAGTGATTCTAATTCTACAACAAGGCAATTGTGTGAAGAATCGTTTAAAAGTTGAAACTGGATGTTGAAGATCAAGTTGGAAGCATTTATTTCTCTGATAGTGATTCTACCTCAGTTGGTGTGAGTTCAAGAATATCTAATCCAAAGACTTCAAGGAAAAAGGGTGAAAGAAATGTGTGTCGCTAGAGTGTTATTGAAGTGAAAACAAATCAAGCTAGAGCAAGGAAAAAGCCGCATCAAGCTAGTACATCAGCACCTGAGCACACAGGTTTGTAGTTAGATTTTCAAATAGAATAGTAGTCACACTGGTGATTCACTCATTTGCCATTGTTAGACTAATTTCTGTTATTATATTTATATTACTCATCAACTTTGTATGGATGCTCAAACAAGAACATGTTGTTGATCATTTTCTGACTAGTATGTCTGGAGTAAATAGTTTTTGGGTTACTACCTTTGATGTTAAGTAGTTATTCTGTTGCTATTCTTTTGTTTAATAGCTTTTCCTTTTGTTGCTCATTTATTTTGGTTATAGTTTTTACAATAAATATATTTACCTTGAATATTCTTTTGAATATTCATGTCTATACAATAATCAATTAGTTAAATATTATGAGTTTTTGTACCAATGTTAATGATCATGTATATGTTATTGTTTTATTGTTTCAAAAATTCAACATGAATATTAATCCAAATGACCATCGTTAATAATAAAATCATCTTTTTATGTAATACAATTATATTTAACAATCTATAGTCATTTTTATGATTTATTTAAAATTCATCTTAGAATATTACCTTCATGATTAATGAAATAATATTGGACAATAAATCTTTTACAATGCTCATTTTCGGTAGATACAATACTTATTTAGAAGTCATACACTATTGGCAAAACTATCAAACAAGCCCTCGAACTTTCATAAAAAGTGCAAATAAGCTCTTTTATAGGAGTTTCTATCCGGCTGTCTCTATTTGGGGAGGTTTTTGGTGGAATGTTTTAATTAAATTTTTTGAGTATCTTCTTTATTAACTCTAGTTTATTCATACCAAATTTCAGCTAATAATTCAATCGAGAAGGCATTCAAATGAATTTTTAAAGATAATTGTGCAGTTAGACAGCGAAATATATTTCAGAAAATCATTTGAATTTTTAGCTGAAAGTTGGTATGGGTAAACTAGACTTAATGAAGAAGATGCTAAAAACTTTTATAAAAAAATTCCACCGGGAACCGCATCAAATGGCGATAGCCGGACAAAACCTTCTGTAAAGGGCTTATTTGCACTTTTTATGAAAGTTCGAGGGCTTATTTGATAGTTCTCCGGGAGTTAGTAATATTTGACAGTTTTTCTGAAGTATGTAATATTGAATGATGGAAGTTAGACATTGTGTTTATATTGATGATCAATACTAGTACCTTATATGCTCATGTTATACGTTAATATACTCGATAAGTAGGCAGCAAGTCTCTTTGTGGATTGGAATTGAATGTTTAGACATATTTCACTACATTCTTTTACTATATTATTAAGTGGTTGACATTTCTGAAGTATGTAATATTATTGAATGATGGCAGTTAGACATTGCGTTTATATTGATGATCAATACTAGTACCTTATATGCTCATGTTATACGTTAATATACTTGATAAGTAGGCAACAAGTCTCTTTTTGCAACCAAATCAGTTGATTAGTATAAAACTAAATAGTATAGGGAGAAGTTCTCCCTATACTTCTTGTTATACTATTTAGTTTTGTACTAATCAACTGATTTGGTTGCAAAAAGAGACTTGTTGCCTACTTATCAAGTATATTAACGTATAACATGAGCATATAAGGTACTAGTATTGATCATCAATATAAACGCAATGTCTAACTGCCATCATTCAATATTACATACTTCAGAAATGTCAACCACTTAATAATATAGTAAAAGAAAGTAGTGAAACATGTCTAAACATTCAATTCCAATCCACAAAATATGTTTCTTCCAACAAGCACATTATAGTAAGTTTTTTTATCCCACATCACAATCTTTTGCTTCACTCTTTTCATCGCTTCCACCCTGACTTCATTCTTCTGAAATGACAATATTTTATGCACGTACTTGATCCTCAGAATCTGTATTGGCTTTTCCTGCATTAAAATATATGTTAGTTTTAATATACCATATTTTTCTCCTACTAATGCTATTACACTAATTTACATTACATATTTTTTAAAGAAATGTGCACTTTACGTTTCCATTTTCGAGTCCACACTCCCAATTAGTATCTCCATGGAACGTTTCCATATGTCTCATCAGGTACACTCCTTCATTTTCTTTGGCCTTGTTTCGCCATGCCATTCTTACAACTTCTGGATGCATGTTTTTCACTTTCTCTGCATGTGGGTGCCTTTCATCTCTGAGCCACTTCAGTACATCACTTTTCTATACATATAAGTATTTAAACAGTTTGTGTATTCGGTATGTATAAAAACATTTACACAATAAAATTGTACGATTACTCATAGGATATGTTAAAAATACTCATTTCAAAACCATACAATTTTTCTTTTTAAACTTACCAAATGGTTTGGTTGGGAATCATACTTCATTTTTATTGCTATTTCCCTGTCACAACTATCAATGATGTTGAACTTTGTATTCTTCAAATCAATGCATATTAAGTAATAACTTCCATTTTTTCAGCCGGGAACAAAAATAGATCCATATTGCTCACTTTTGGCAATGCTCTATGGAATTGTTCCCAAGTGGCTTCAACAAAACTCTTCATCCTTGTTGTTGCAGTGCTGAGCTGGTTTTCCTCCAATACTTTCTGTATATCAATCATTTAAAATATTACTTATAAATCAATGAATACAAATATATACAACAATAATTCTTACGCATGGTAATGCTGTTAATATCAATCTGTTTCTCGATTCCTTGCTCTTTAGAGTGTCATTGTCGTTCAGAATCATTGCCCATACATCTACGACTTTTGGACTGACTTTGCAATTGATGTCCAGAGACTCCAATTCTTCCTTTGTAAGAACAACATCTCCATCTTTGTACAACAGAATACTATTTTGTTTAAAAAATGGTCAGCAAAGTTTCGTAATGTTATGCATTGTTTAATATATATATATATATATAATTTATATAGATATAATAATTTTTTTGATAAGTATCCAGTTACTTACCTTTTATCATTGTTGTTGTTAAACACAAATTCAGCCACTTTTATCTCTTCAGTCGTCATTGAGCCCTTGATATCAATGATTCTATTAATAAATGGAGACTTGTGAGGAGCTGTAGGGATTACTTGTCTTTTCTTTTTCAATTGATTCTCCTGAAAACAACTTTCATCTTCACTGGCATCCTGTTTTCCCATTTCAGCTGATCTCTTTCTGGCTTCATCATCAACTTCTTGATCCCTGCTTTCTCTTTCAAAAATCATTTCTTCATGCTCATTATGAAGATCCCCATGCTCATTACACCCTTCAGCATGCTCATTAGATTCTTGGGAAAGTAATGTGAAGCTTGGTTTTTCGTACTATGTCAGTGTTGGCCTTTCATTTCTCTTCTTTTGTACCTTTTCAATGGCTTCTACTGCTCTCAGAACATCTTCTGTCCAGAAATCATCATCTGGTGTCAGTGTTATTTCTTTTGCTTTTTCATTTGTTGGCTGTTCTTTGGAGTATGTGTTGAACAGTCCATTTAGTTTTTCAAGCAGGACCTTCATCGTTTCATCTCCACGGAAATGCCTTGTTCTGCCCTTATTCCAAAAGTCTTTTGCTTTGATGAGTGTGTCCAATGTATATCCACACCAGTCTAGATCGCTAACTCTTGACTCATCATCCAAAGCTTTCAGAATGCTTTGGTTCACATAGCAATTTAGCTTTCCTTCTATCAACATTGTCACTAACAGAACCAAAAAATTCTTCTTAAACCACCATCCTCCTTCTCAGCTCTCCTCTAAAGCCTTCTTCAATACGCCTGTTTTCACTTGGCCTCTATCACTAGGGAATAAATTTCTCCACTCAGCTAGCATTTCAGAAGTCAACTCACCTTGTTTGTTAATTTTTTCTTGTATGTTTATTGTTCCTCTTGGGAATCCCAATGTGTAATGCATTGAATCTCTGGTGATGTGCACATTCTCTTGATTTGGTAAAATCAAAGACATGCTCCTGCTATCAAAATTATCTACAACCCAACGCCCAAGACGTGCAGGCAATTGCTTCACTTGAAGTAATAGTAATTGCCCAAAGCCCATCTCAGCTACTTCTTTTTTTTGTTCATCACTAAGCTTTTCAACTACTTCTATGAAACTCTTCGGAGACATTCTTGTCAAGATTTTTGGAAACACGGCTTCTTCAATCTGAGCTTCGTCCTCCTCATATTTTTTTCTTTTTCTGTTTTCTTTTTCTTGTTCTTCTTTGACTCTGTAGTCATGTTTCTAGTAACTCTCCTTTTTGTTTTATCATTTCTTTTCCTTTTTTCAATAAGTTCTGTCTCTTGAACTTCATCTGCCTCAGTCTCCTGCTCATCTGCCTCAGTCTCCTGCTCATCATCTTCTGTATCTTGCTCATCATTGTTCCTCTGCACTGCATCTTCATTTGCCCTTTCTGAATCTTCATTGTTCTCTTGCTGATAAGCATCTGTCTCTTGATCATCATTATTCCTTTGGCCTTCATCTATATTCCCCTGTTCTTCATCTTCCTCCCTCTCTTTCTCAACATCATCTTCCACAATTTTCTCCAAATACATCTTATTTCTAGAAGTTAGTTTTGTGAAACCTTTTTGGGTTTTCTTCTTTATGACCTTTTTTGGTGCTTTAGCACGAAGCACTGGGATTTCAATATTAGGAACTTTCTTCACATTATTTCCTTCATCCCTGCATTAGTAATGAGTACTAGTTAACACTGGTATGCGTAATGCACACAAACGAATGATATTAGAAAATTTCAAACAACATTCTCTTGCATATTTCAAACAACATTCTCCCTCACAAGAAATATGTGATTATTCTACTTTAAAAAATGAGTACTCAGTGAATTATTATGAGTTTTATAAACAGTTCAATAAGTATGAGAAAAGAACAAGTCAAGTAATCTTCACATACTTGTTGTTAATGTCCAACTACTTGTCTTAAAAAAATAATGAATACTCATTACACAAGTTTCATTTTTAGAACAACAATGGTTCATTTCTATGTTCCGTTATAATACCTTAACCAAAATCCAATTTTACTCGCGATAAATGTGTGATTATTCCAATTTAAACAATGAGTAATGAGTGACATATTATAATTAGTAAACACAATTCAATAAGTATGACAAAAGAACAAGTCAACTAATCTTCACATATTTGGTGTTAATGTCCAACTGTTTGTGTTAATAAAATAATGAACACAGGGTATACAAGTTTCAGTTTTTGAACAACAATGGTTCACTTCTATGTTCCGTTATAATACC